ACGTTGTATCGTTTAAGATGCTTTAACAACATTTTCACTTCTTTTTTAAAGTTCTATTTAATAATTATAATTGTTTTATATAAGCGAGTTTGAAAATGTACACTTTTTTGTCTTTTACAAAAAAAAGCAGTACTACTCTCAATTCCTTCAATACTGGATTATCATATTAATGTGTCAAACTTTGGTATTTGAAAAAATAGATTAAAAATGCATTAACATGCTCTGGTTTTAAAATACATGTTGCTGGAGAAACATTAAGCAAACTTGTTTAAAATAAATCACTGTAGATTTTTGTCAATGGTTTTGTTGACAGAAGTCCCCTTAGAAATACAGATTTTTTTTGTCCTTAAGTGTGCACACTTCTATGCAGATGATGCTCTTCTTTCTTCTTTTGTTTATAGAGTTGACAGCTATATGGAACAACCAATAGGATTTGTTTCCACGTTTTTTTCTTTTCACTACTAGTAGGTTTTGATGTTATGTTTGTCCAAGATAAGTACAAATAAGAACAATTTTGTTTAATTGTTATGACACATATTTCTAACCAAATACTTAATTGATCTGCATGTTCCAGTATTCCAAATGAAATTGTTAGTGGATAATGTAGCAGTGTGTACATACATGCATGTACATTTATACATATTCATTAAGTCCTTTTGGTTAAGTCATTGGCAACATATCTGCCTCACTGAGATTTTATGAGATTACATCAAGACACAAAATCTTAAACACTGAATACATCATAAAGTAGGTAAACATAAATAGTAGGAAGTTTTGGAGAGCACCATTTCTTATAAAACAAGTGTAGTAAAATAAAGGTTGAACCCTTGCACTATTTCTCTGACAACCACAAACAAAAAGTTTGGATTGCGCCATAAAGAGTGATTTATTTAACATATCAAAGGCGCAATTAGAACAAGTTTCTGGCTTTTGAAGCTTAGTGAGAAGTCTATTAAGTATTTAACTGGGGGAGAAATGGATGGTCTGTGCTGTTTTTCCACCTTAGCAGTATTTATTAAAATGAAGTTAAATTACTGCCAGTCCCAGCGAAGATTTCTTCAAAAGAAACAAAGCCAAATGAACACCAAAGATGTAAAAATGTGCTTTGTTCATCAGAGGGAGAGCGAGAGAGAAAAGACTCCACTCAGAGAGCCCTGAATGCTACATTTCATGCCTGCAACAATTATGCTGAAAGGTCAAGTATTACAGCATCTTGTGCTCCGCTTTGCATGCAAAGTATTTCAGTTCACAAATGACCCTCGTTTGCGCTCTTTGCACAATGGCTTGAAGAACCAGATAAATGTAGGACAATTAAAGATTTGTGCTGCTACCACACAATAACATTTACCAAAAGGGGGTGATTGCAGTTGCAGTGTAATTGTGCTGTTTGCAATGCACATAAATGCTTGGGCCTGCAGCAATGAAATGTCTCGGAACTTTAAAAAGAAAGAAAGAAAAGAAAAAGGACTGAATGGCTATGTTTTAAAAGCAGCTATAACGTCAAAACAAAGTTATCATGAAATGATAAGACAACACTTACGTGCGCAGATTTTAAGTGAAGAGTTTCAGTCTTTGTTGCTTTTCCGTTAACGTGGTTTATTTTCAGCACCGCGGACAGCTCCCAATTCATCCGCTCACGTTGTGTTTAAAACAAACGTTTGAAATATCACACAGAAATGATAATGTATTTGAAATACACAAATAATTTCTGTGTCTAATGGTTTAGAGGCTTGTACTTGATGTAAAGGAATCAGGGTGTGACACCACAACCATAAAATGGACACACTTTTTCCGGGTTCAAACTATCAGATATATCAGTTGAATTTAATTAAAATTTAATTTAATTTGGTAGTTGTGCTTATATTTGTAGACTTTTTTCAAGAAACTAATAGAAAAATTTAGTATTAAAAGTATATGTCACATCTGAACGTTTCTCTGTGACGCAAGTATCGTTTAGATAATCATTGCATTTTTATGGGCGTTCCCTTAAAATAAAATGTGCATCGCGAGATAAAACAAAAACAACTGTGAGACCAAAGTCAGATTAGTTCATGATTCTGAATTTATTAGTTCCTTTGCTTTCTTCACCTTTTATTAATCCTAAACGTAAAAAATAAACCCACTCTCTCTTCCGCGGAATTAAGCAACTATAATTTCAACACTTGAGGATGTTTAATATACTTTTAAACTTCAAATTATCCCTCAACTACTGAGCCAGTGGATCGCAGGGCTCTAACGAAGCGAGTAAAATTCACTCGCTGGTCTCTAACTCAAATATGATTACCTTGAGATTAGAGACTAATTGCTTGCGGTTCATGGAGACAGGCCACCATAAAGCCAGGGGGACTTGGGGAGTTGCTCTGTGGGCTTCTACAAAAGAAAGCGATGAGAGCACACACGCTTCCAACAAGTCATTCTCAACAGCTACAAGCTGCACACAAAGACCACACACCGAGCCAAAGACATGTTAATGTAATCACCAAGTTCTCACTTCTCTCCTGGACAAAACCTGCATGGTGAAATACCTAATAGAAGATCGTTTCTGATGCTGGTAAGATTTTCACTTAAAAGCTGAAAAAAAGGGGGCAGGAACAAAAAGGGGGGGGCTTAAGCCATGGCCGTTTCTTATCAGCAAATTACAGAAAAGAGGTCAATGTGAGTTGTGATTTTTTTTTATTATAAAAACCATACTAATCCAAAAGTTATAAATGCCCCTGGGAGAAAACTTTGCATTATCACAGTTTTAACAGAGCATGAGCAGAATGAGCAGAAAGGTGCAGCTGGGCCATGTAGCAGTTCTACGAGGAGGGGGGGGGGGTCTGTTCTCCCAATTATACCGAAAATTATGGAGAAAAGTGCTCAATAAAATTCAACAACATGGGGGTTAATTGGCTGGTGAGGGCTCAAAAATGTCATGAAACAGAGAAGATAATATGCAAGAAACTCCTTTACAAGTCATCCTCAATAAACCTAAGGAACAATTACAGACCAGGTCCAGTCAGACGAGCCCTGCAGGATTAATGTGGACACACGCGAGAGATTAGGGCCGATAATGGATGTTTATTACAACATGTATCCTACACCTTTCTCAAAAAGAAAACACATACACAAACAGCCAGCTTTAAAACCAACCCGTTACATTTTTGTGTTGGGTGGTTTGGGATCCTATTATAGTCTGTAGATCAAATATTTTACACCTTAATAATTTTGGAATGAAAGATGCAGGTCAGAAAGACTCTACTGGATAATATGTGCAATTCAAGCATGGATCATAGGTTAACGTTTATGTCCAGTAAAACACATATATATATCCAGGGAAATGCTTTTGTAAGGTCTTAATTTGGGAAGGATTTTTTAAGTGAACCGAGATGCAATTGAAGCTGAAGCCAACCATCAAAAGTAGAGTTCCTTAATGTCACATCGTTCTGAGGTCATTTTAGCCTTTCGTCTCAAGACAAACGAAACAGCAAAAATAATCTATAAATAACCTAACACAACTGAACCGATAGCATCTTATTGTTTAACGAAAATCATCTACCCATAGCAAACCCCATTGTTTACTGTTTTGGTTTCCAACCTTTGTCCAGTTTCAGCATGTTTATCACCTTTTGAAGCAGAAGAAAAAGAAATGACTTGTTGAGGGGAAAAAATAGAATAACAACCCAACTCTAAAATTCTACTCTATTTCGAAAAACTATATTTGTGGAGGCAGCTTAGTTTTTGGGAAATACGGCCCAGAGTACCCCGGCGTTTCCTTTCAATCCCCCGATTGATTATTGATGAACCGCCGATAGTTCCGCGTCATCATTGTCGAACTATTTCGGGCTGTTTGGTGAGGGATTTCTCAGATAAGCTGCTCTTTGAGCAGCCTTTGCGTTTGATGTTGGCAGCCGAGGGACCTGTCTCTGACTCACACCAGCGAGAAAACACACATGCGGAAAGAAAAGAAAAGGAAATAAAAAAAGAAACGCACATAAAGGCTGAGTTTACTCTGCAGGGCTTGTGTGAGTGAGCGTTGTAAACGAGAAGCCTGAGGGCTGTGAGATCTGCCACAGAATGAAAAATAGTTTTCAAAAAACGTGCCTCGGAATTTGACAATGATGGCAGAATAATTTGTTTGGCGTGTAGTCTTTGTCTGGAAAAGGATCAGGGGAGAGCTAAAAGAAAATATCCCCTGCGCACCCAAATCTATACAAAACAAAAAAGATTACGTCCTGGGAAATCATTTTAATTGGAAGCTTAATAATAATAATAATAATAATAATAATAATAATAATAATAATAATAATAATAATAATAATAATAATAGTTTAATCTGTGGTTCCACAAATTAATATTTACAACTAATATCAAATCGCAGTGTTGACAAATTTCACAAAATAGGAATTAAAAAAATGTTTAACGGACTTGTTTCCATAATTTATTATTAGGACTGTTTTGTAGTAATTCAAATATCTATAAGTTACAAAGAAATAAAACGTACAAATACCAATGAAACGACAACAAACCGGCAATAGCGTCAAAAAACTTTGTAAGAGCTAAAATTCAAACCTTTTACAGAAATGTACAAGCTAGATCTACGGCTTACATTAATTTCTAATATAAAGAGTCATCAGGTGTGTCGGTGGCGGGGAGTTTCTCAGCAGCCACCGGACAATAGTCTGCCTCTGTGTGCGTCCGACAGGTTCAGTTCCCCCGACCATTAGACTATTGAATCTTCTTCAGTCTCAATATAATTTACATAAATAAATCCCAAAACTTTTACATCCACAGTTTTTTTGACAAAGGCTTTTCCTCCACAAAAGTCACGTTTCCTTACAAGAGGAGAAAATTTCAAAAAGAGCTGCATCGATTTCACTCGTTTTTTTTTGTCTTTACGTCTTTTCGTTGTTCAAACGCGCACATTTGCTCTGAATCTTGTGGAGTCTTCACAGGGGGAGGGGAGTTGGGGTCATTTTTGACTCGAAATAGAAGGTTTAGAGCGGACGCTGCGCCTCTTGTCACCACGTCCTGCCGTACAACAGGGCCGAGCACTGCAGGGCCGAGCCGTACTCCGCCCCGGGGGAGTTGAGGTGGGAGAGGCCGGACACCTGGCTCTGCAGGGCCGGCGGGCTGGACGAGTGCGGGGCCAGGTCCGGGGAGTGACCCGTGCTGCCCACCTGCTGGCTCTGGTGCTGCGCGAGGCCGGACGTGTTGTTGGACATGATCATGACGTTGGCCGCCTGCTGGTGGTGGCTCTGCGCCGCGGACGTGGGCGTGTGGCCGCTGCCCTGGCACGGCTTGCCGTCCTTGACCAGCACGGGCACGGCCACGCGGCGCGGGGACTGCTGCTGCTGGCAGGAGCCGCTGTCCTGCTGCATCTGCTGCTGGGACACCTTGTCCTTGGCCTGCCGCTTCATCTTGTAGCGGTGGTTCTGGAACCAGATCTTCACCTGGGTCGGCGTGAGGTGGATCATGCTGGCCAGGTGCTCCCTCTCCGGGGCCGAGAGGTACTTCTGCTGCTTGAAGCGGCGCTCCAGCTCGTAGACCTGCGCCTGGGAGAAGAGCACCCGCCGTTTCCTCCTCGGCGCGCTGGAAAGGGACCCCATGCCTTTACCCACGTCCGCCAGGGAGCTGAGGCTGCCCATGCTACCCATGTTCATGCCCGACGAGGAGCCCATGAAGCGAGAAACTGAGGGGAAATGAAGAAAAACTGCGATGAGACTCTGATTTTAGGTACAAGCCATATGCTAAAGTATTTAGATGGTGATATTTATGGTTAAATAATTGCAATCAAAGCGTATATCATTCGTGTTACTGTGGTGTTATTATACATCTAATGATTAGAGGAAGAGAAAGTAGTGAATAGTATTTTGGCCGCACATATAAAATGCATCAACCAGGCAGGTGCACTCATCCAAAAGAAATATTCGTTCATATCCACAAAAAAAAACACCTTCCGTTACCATTTTATAACAGCATAAGTCTAATCAACGAATGAGAAAAAAGTCTAGCTTTCATTTTGACTAAAGAAAAATCTGTTCATGTCTGCTTCTATCCTGAGACTTCATCCAGATGTTGCACGGAGATGAAATACAGGGATGCAATGAGCAAAAGCTGCCTTAACCATGGGAATAGGAATATTTTCCCAGATAAACTCCATGTGAAAAATACAAAAAAAAAGAAAAATGTAAAAAGTAGCATATCAGAGCACGAAACCTGCAGGCGATTTAGCCTCAAATTACGCACAGGCGCACCGCGTCCGAGTCCAAGTGCAGGTGCGTTATACTCACTGGTGGAGAAACGCGGGTCTGGGTTGGCTCCATACCAGCCAGTGGCCGTGGTGCTGCCCCTCATGCCGTCCTGGTAGGGCGGCAGGTCGCCCATGTTCCCCAAGTTGCCGTTACAGTAGCCCCCCATAGCAGTGTGTGACAGCTGAGAGACACCTGCCGCAGTCATGTGGTAAGCCGCAGACACAGTCCCATTGTGACCCATGTGGTGCTGCTGCATGGCCGCCTGAGAGACCTGCGGCTGCCGGTAAGAAGTGAGAGGTGCCCCCAAGTTGTTATTCTCCATACTTACTTTCTTATAGCTCTCCTCAAGGGGACTCAAGATATCGGAAACAGAAAAAGGAGTCGTATGCTTAGGGCTCATCGACATTGTTCTGTGGCTGGAGAGGGAGAAATTAGAAGGGAAGGCAATCTCTCCTTCTCTCTCTTTTTTTCCCCTTTTTTTCTTTTTTTTTTTGGCCAAAGCCCCTCTGGTTCCTGTTGTCTCAACGTCGATCCCGGTAGATGAACACGTAGAGCGCCTCAAGTCCGCCTTAATTGGATTGAGTGGGAGCTTGGTGCTGGCTTTGGTTTGTTTTAGCTGGGTGCCAGGTTTAAGGCTACCATCAGAGGCGGGGCATCTGCAACGGTACAAAACATCTCTAGCCTCCTTTCGCCGTGCGTAATTTCGCTAAGAAGACATGTGCTCTCCTCCCACTAACAATAACATGGGCGCGATGCATGATCAGGAACGCTCGGCTCGGCTCCTTTCTGCTCCTTTCTGCTCCTTTCTGCTCCTTTCTGCTCCTCCTGCTGTTTCTTCTGCTCCTGCTGCTGCTGGTGGTGGAGTTTGGGACTTGTTGCGGCTCGCTGATAAACAGGCGGCTGCACCTCGGGACTGCAGTGCCCACAATACACTTTATTAACTGTAGTGATGTTTACGAGGGCCTCTTGATGAAAGGAGGCCTATATGGACTTGAGAGTTTGAGAACCACTCCTCAGTTGAACTACTGACTTTTAATGGCCACGAGAGGCCTCCAGTGATTGCGGGATTGTTTGTGTTATGCCTTATCGTACTCAGACATGCAAAAGTGCACTCGCGGGGAGGGAAAACCGACTGATACTGATAAGTAAATAAATACACATCCGCGCGTTAAGTGGCCCCGTTAATAATGAACCTCCTTTCCTTTCTTTTTTTTTGCCTCCCCTCTCTTTCTCCTTTTTGATATCATTGGACGCAAGCTGCGTGTTACCAAAATTCAGATGCACACACTCCCGGCAGATAAAAATAAATAAATACATAAAGGAGGGGGGAATCAAGTCTGGAATAGGAGAGGCTCTCATGTGAAGTTAACGGTGTTCAAGTAGCTACTCTCCTGCAGCACAACGTCAGGTAGCCCTCAGTAGCATCTTGCCTTAATGCTCAAGGAGCGATTACCGTTTAACCCAGTCGTGTGTAAAATATTACGAGGAGTGGCAAAGGAGGCGATTTGAACTGTTTCTTTTCCCCAGCCATCAAGTCATAAGATTTCTGACGCGCCAGTGGGCTGAATCTACACATAACACCACTATATCTATTGATCTATTCTAGATGAGCTCTCACTGGAAATTCTTGAAGGCTGTGATCAGCTTTGATTTGGGATTGTGCTTGTTTTTGTTTAACCACGAATGTTTTTGTCAGTTTGTATATTTGCCTGCCTATATTTAGTTATGAATTACATAAAGGGAATACAGTGAAGCATTCAAATACTCAATTTGTGAGTGCAAGGTCGAACCTGATTTATACAGGATTACAAAATAATAACAGAACAAATAGGTTATTTCTTATTGTGCGGTGTGTGTGGCAGCTGCAGATGTAACAGAGGTCTGAGTCTGCAGGTTGGACGCATCTCCTTTTGACAGGAGTTAGAGAAACACAGCGTCTTCTGGTGGTAGCCTCCTCGGTCTGACTCTTGAATTTCTAAAAAAAACTTAGCATTTCGTTTGGTTTTTTTGCGTAAAAAAACCAACAATGGTTTCTTTTGCATATTAAGTTAAAAACAAATAAATAACCGAATTAAAAAACTGTCACGGTGGCTGCAGGCTGGGCAGCAGTGCTCGTGCAGATATCTGCCTCTTCAGTCACGGGGATCACCGAGCCCAGCTGTGTGTTTCTCTGGCTGTTTTTTGGACTGCTCTGGTGGATTTTAAAGGGCGTTGGGCACCATATACGACGAGCCTCATCCTCTCCTTCGCCCTGACTGTTCCGCGCATCCTAAACGAAGCACCATGCAGCCCAGGAACAAATCAGCAAACATAAATTGTTTACATTTCAGCCAAGATGCCAGCGCGTAATTTGCAGCCCCGTAGTGAAAGCAGGCGAAATGAAATTACAGCATCTTTCTGTTTCCAAGGTAATCTTGCCTATATGCATTCCTTAATTAGACAATTTCACAAGACATTCTTAATCATCTAAAACAGTACATTTCCTCTCGTTCTGCCGCCAAGCTATTATGGCCAATTAGCGACAATTAGTCCAAATGTTCCAGCTAATTCCTGAGAATAATGAGGACACTGAAGTGGTGGGTATGCTCCCACAGAGCCTTTGTTATCGAGGTTGTTGTTGTTTATGAACTGATTTGTGTGTGTGTGTGACATAATCCACTGAGGACAACTCCAAAAATGAAAAATAAGAAAAGTTCAGCAGCAAGTTGATTTCTGTGATTGAAAACATTTTTCTGTTCCTTTACACCCTCTATAGAAAAAATACCACAGTGGGCGGAAATGAACAGCAACAGGTTTTCAGAGTATAGTCGGATCCAGGTCTCTGAAAGTTTTGCTATTGCTGTTACATGAAGGGTTGAAACGTCACCGAAAACGTTCAACTTTCCTCTAATTAAATTCAAGTTTATGCCAAATGAATACCAGATGAGCCGTTTGTATTTTGAAAGATATTCTATCTGTTTTCTATTATTAATAACAACAGCAGGCATATGGCCCAATATCAAAACCAGTCGTGTCTCAATTAGGTGCAAAAGGAAAACGAATGTAAAAGGACAAAATAATCTTGTTTTATTTGCAACAGGATTATTTGCATTGTGCATTATAAAATATATAATTTCTCCGTTTTTCGATATTCTCAGTGACTTTGTTTTTATAGAAAGGAAAAAAAGATTTTTGTTTTTGCAATAATCGACATAACACGTGATGTTTATTCCATATTTCCACTGCAGGTTATCAACACAAATCAACAAATAAATTCTCATTACTCTCAGTTTCCAAACCTCTCATGCATTATGGTCTGCAGCCGTAAAACATTGGTCACGTATCCATCACTCAACGGCAATAATGTCATAATTCCTCAGCTAACACGGTGGAATGGGAACTCGCAGGGTTTCACAGTAAAGCGCGGCCCCTTGTGGATCCAACCCAAGGCCCCCTTCATCCAAACATCCCAAGTTTGCTTCGTCCGGGGAGATGGAGTGTTCCCAGAGCAATAGTGGGTCTCATTCCGCCATCTAGTGGATCCTCGTGTCAGTGGGAGACGGTCAGTCAGAGCTTACTAAATGTTTTGTATGTTTTTGTCGTCGTTTTTAAGCTTTGCTTTACTTTTCTCATATTTGCAAAACATCTTTAATCAGATGTGAGAAGAGTAAAGCAAAAAATATTTGAAATGATGTTTGTTGTTATATGGTGTCCATTATAAGTCAGTCAGGCCAACGTGAAGACTCCAACTGGACATTGTCTTGGACCTGGTAAATGTTGCCTTTTAGATGAGAGGTGAGGTGAAATCTGGCCTAATTTAAACTCTTTGAACTTCTAAAGGTTCGAACAGCTTTTCGGAGAGCAATAGAAGTTACACCAAGTCCTCTTTGTCACAAATGAAGCCGGTAAGGCCCTGATGCTGCAGTGTATTCTCATCATATGAACAAGAATAGAATTTGATTATCAACTTTATTTGAATGATGCCACCATGAGTGTTACCTTTAAACACAATAGTTCATTTCTAATTTTATCACAATATTGAATTAATGCATTTTCACCCAAATAAGGGATGCAAATACATCTCTACTATCATTTGAATTCCATTTAACATAAAGGACACGTTTCCAGCCCACCGTCCAGCCCAAAGATTTATGCACTTCATCTAACAAACTAATCAAATAACTGTTTTCTTTACATACAAGAAATGTATGCAGCATTAGGGATCATCAACAATCTTACAGCCCACACCACTGTACATTTTTATGCTGAGGTTGGAGTTTTTGCTACCTTATTCTGGGACACATTACAAACACCCCACTCCAGACCTAAATCCGTCAAATAAACAAACAATCAAACAAATAGATAAATAAATACTAAATGATATAAATAAATACCGCATTATGCCTTCATGCTTCATGCTCCATCGAATGGAGGAAAACCATCAATAGTGAATTTATTTGATTTAATTCTCAATTTAAGGGGATTTAAGGTCATTTTAAACACAGTATTCAACAGAAATGTGTTGTTGTAAGTCCTTCGATCAATGCCATGACCTGCACACCTTTATGTATACATTATGTTGTGTTTATTTGACATCCCTGCTAAGATGAGTTTCTGTATTGAAAATAAGGGCATTTGGAATACCATTTTCTGATTAATCAAAATAACGTCAATACAGCTGTAAAATACATTTTGGATTAACAATAAGGTGCACTCTCACAGTGGATAATGGAAAAGATAAAGGCCATATAACTCCAGACTGTATATTTCCAACTTCAATACACTGTGTGCCGTGTATGAACAAACATACGTGAATTCAGCATTAGGAACAAGATGGCTAACAGCTTAAAAATGCTACTTGGTTCATAATACAAAGGTTTATCATGAACCATTTCAAGCACATACACTTCTCATCCATAAATCTTAATTTTTATTTTATTAGGATGATTTGACATCTAAATTGCTCATTCTTTTTTAAAATTTGTTTTATTTACATGTCTTCCACTTACCTGCATGAAGGAAATGCCAATCTCATTCCACTAATTTGAATTCCAGGACCATGTCAACAAAAAAATATATAAACATTTGACAGTTTCTGATTTCTTCGAACAAAAAATAGAAAGTTTGTGCTGCAGTAACTATATTTATACCTAGTCACCTGTTTGCAAAGGAAAAACCAGCCTTTATACGCAGATGAATGAACAGATATCTGTAGTGGTGGAAATAAAATATCGACAATCATCTTGCAGATTTTACTGGGATACTTTAGGCAGAAAACTATAATTAATACTTCTATTCATAATCCCTTTTCAACTAATTCATCTATCCCCAATATAATATAAAGTTATCTCGAGGCATTTTAAAGATAGAGTGCATCCATTTTTCCCATTTCCAATTTTAGTCCAAACGTATTCCATATAATTCAAATAATAGAAATTCTAAAAGATTTATTAATGTAAATCTGGCTAAAAAAACAAATGGATCACTAATATTCGCCACAGTTCTGAACACCCACAAGATGATAGTGTATCCACTTCAACCAGTACAGCAGCCGGTCAGGGTTACCTGAATGAATAAAAGAGATAAGCTGTTAAAGTCAGCGGTGTTGCCACATATTCCTAAATGGAGAGTAAAGAGAGCAGAGTGAGAGATCTGCAGTATTATTCAGATTGTAGAAGTAATGCACATTTGGAAAATGTTGTCTTGAAACTAGTATTTCCTGTACCATATGACATACCCAAAAAATGGGTATATTTTCTTTCCTTTTTTTTTTTTACCCCTTTCTGAGACTTTAGATGCAACAACTTAACAAAACTCCTCCTGTGGCCCAGTTTACATGCAGCTAATAACTTTCCTAAAAGGGGCCCCAGGGCCAACAAGTGAGTAAGACTATAGGATGGGCAGGCCAATACAAGCCTATCCTTTACAGACAATTCTTCTGACCAACTTAAAAAACCAATGGCAACCTCTAAAAGCCTGTCTTTGTCATCCCTAAACCCCCAAGATGCTCCAAAACACCATTGTGCAGTTAAACCTCATAAATTTGTCGCAGGGACTGATTAAACATCACGGGAATTGAAACACTAAAGATTTTGTCTTGGTCCCTTTTGGATGAGCCACAATGGTCCTTTCACGGGGAGACACCCGGACAAAAAGAGCGTTTAAGGGGAGATGTGGCGAGCCGAGGCGTTCGGCCAGTCCCCTCCATATGTGAGACAAGGTGGCCCCAGAGTGGGGGACAAAGGGCCAGGTGACAGGGACGATAGGCTGCAGGGTCACAGGACGAGCAAACAACATTATAGGGGGCGTAAAAGCTGGAGACCCCGGAGTCACTGACATGATTTTAAACACTGAGGCATATTTTCCATGTTAGGGTATTCCATCATCTGTGGCCGAGCTTCCTAGAAGTCGGACTACAATGGAAAAACGACTCAGGCGTCTTGAAAACGTGGATGATTTGTGATGGTTTGTGGAAATAAGTCAATCTGCAAAGAATTTTCTGTAAAGTTTATTTAATTGAGACATTACAGCAACACACTAGCTGCAAATTGTTAATCTAAATCAATATTTGTATTTGTGTTTTTCCTCTTTATTAAGTAAAAAGTACTTGACAGTTTGAGGACAGCTGACTCTCTCCCTTTAATTCCCATTATCATCCTCTCAAAAATCCAGTATACGTCAAGGGGAATCACACACAACTATATTTACAGATGATGCTAATGACTGTATTTAGGCCCATGCACTTTCCTCAGAGGAACAAATGTTAATTGAATAAGTAAAGCTGCTCCAGGTTCCAGACAGCAACAGGGTGCTGCGGTGAATGTGTACTGGGTATTCTTATGCTTATCCCAGTCCAGTCCTTTCAGGAGAGATGTTTGCTCAGCTTTTTTAGTGCATAATTAGTTCCATTTTAACATTATAAAAGCCTTTCTGGCCTTTTTTCATGACCTGAGACATATTTCAGATTGTACAGATACAGTTTGTTGGCATAAATACACCACATCTGGGAATCTTTAAACTATAAAACAGATTTGAGCTTGTTAGATTATCTTCTCTGGAGAGTACACCAATAAACACTTAGTACAAATGTGTAGACGAGTTTCCATAATAAACACTTTGAAACAGATGAGTAAAAAAAGGAAGATTTTATTATTATTGTTGTTGTTGTTTTTACAAAGTGAAATATTCAAATCCTTCACAAAAGTCTCTTTAAGACAACAAATAGCAAATCCCTTATCATTTCCATTTGTAGGTTGTGGTGCTTTTTTTCTTCACAAATCTTCTCTTTAACGCCTTAACACAAACTACTTGACTCGCCTGTCCTCAAAAAGTTATATGAACAAATATTACGCTTAAAAGACATTTTTGAACATGAAAAAATAGATAAAAACGACATAAAAAGCCCTTCAATGCATCACCGGGCCGTAGAAGCCTATTGAAATAAATGTTTCAGAAGTCCAGCACAACGTACAAAAAGTAGAATTAAAAAATGTGCAAAATATCTTTCGTTCTAAAGTGGAAGTCTAAATGTTTAAGTGGCTCGAATGTTTTTTTGCAGAACATTTAGAATACATTTGATGCCGTTTCTAAATGAGTTTGTGCGTTGACGCGAGGCCTTCATTTGAAGGAGTTAAACGAGAGCGAATCGCTCCAGAACTCCCTCCAGGAGAACCTGGAGGCCGCCCCGGCCGGAAAGTGCTGCTGCTGGTACCTGGGAGCGAGCGCTGCGGGGCCGGGGTGCGGGAGGGACGGGTAGATCCACGGGAAGGGTACCGCGTGAGTGGAAGACGAAGGCAACCCGGGTTTCTCCGTGTCGAGTAAGTAGGTGTGAAAAGGCTTCCCGTCCCGCACCAAGATCGGAACTACCACCCTGCGCAGGAGCGGAGGAGGCGGTATCTCCACCTCCTGCAGCGCGCCGTCCGCCCGGCCCCGCTTCATCTTGTACCGGTGGTTCTGGAACCAGATCTTCACCTGCGTGGGGGTGAGGCTGAGGAGCCGGGCCAGCTGCTCCCTCTCCGGGCCGGACAGGTAGCGCTGCTGGCGGAAGCGCCTCTCCAGCTCCAGAGTCTGCGCCTTGGAGAACAGGACGCGGCGCTTCTTGCTCTTCTTGCTCCTCTCGAGCTCCGATTCCGGAGATGCGTCGTCCGGCTTGGTGGAGTCAGGGGAGGCCTCGAAACTACCCTCGTCAGAAGCTGTGGACATGAGCCAAGATCCAGGTTACACATAAGGGAAGGAGGGAAAATTGTTCCCAACAACATGTTGATATTCACATATTCGTAAATATTCAGTTAAGTGTGCGTCTTTAAACGTGTACTTACATATGCAGGGGCTTCGGTCGCAGTCTGTCCAGGAGGTGTAGGGGGAGCTGGAGGAGTAAACCGCATCCGGCTCCGGCAGGTCCAGGATGCTCCGGACAGAAAAGCTGAACCTGTTCGGTGCTGTCATCCCGTCCTCGTTATAGGTGAAACGTAGCAAGAGCCCAAAGCAAACGCGTCCAAAAGAGAGAAGGAAAAAAAAAAAAGAAGAAAGACCGAGAAGAAAAAAAAGCAACCACACGCTGTGGATCCACTTTACGCGCTGTCCAAACAGCAGTGCGCGCGCCGAGCTCCGTGTTTACACAAACAGCCAAAGATGGACCGCAAACAGCAGGACGATGCCTTATAAAGCCTCCTTCCAATGGTACCTGAATAACCGGAGTGGTGTCACCCAATGATGGTTAGGTGTGGACCTAAGAAAAAAAAAAACCCTCAACAATGAGCGAAGGAAACACTCATCATCATTACAGATTCGTCCCGTATCGTCAAACTGGGAAACAGATAATGGTAATTGTTGGAGTTGAATCACGTCTTGGGTGGCAACTGACAACAGAGGCTGGCCCATCATCTAACCCCGCCACCCCCCCCCGGTTCCACTCTCCCCTCCCCTCTTCCTCTTGTTCAAATAACATGTTCAATATTTGCATACAAAGTGAGCAATTAGCGCTTTGCCCGCGAGTTGGTTTAACTAATACGCCGTTAATGTGCGCAATGCTCGCGAGCGTGAGAAGTTTTTATGGGCAGCAGAAGAACATTTGTCTCAGGAACTTCCTCCTTTGACGTTTTTAGAGCATGCACTTTCTTTCTTGATGTCTTTTTTTATGTCGATAATACATGTATTTCCCCCCTTTCTTACCAAGTTCCAAAGTTTGGAATTTTGCAAAATGCTATCGTGTAAAATTACGCCAAACACGCCAGATGAGTATTCTGCTGAATAGAAAAGGACCTATACGCATAAATGAATATTGTGATGGAGGAGCTGAATGGTGGGGCTTTAAAAAATAATTCAAAATGTTTTTTCTATTACTGTTGATTATTTTTAAACCGTAAAAATGGAATAAACTGGAAATGAAAGTACATTTCTGCTATAAATCTGCACCTGGTTCTACCCAGTCTGACAGTGATTGATAACTGGGGAAGCTTGTATTCACTGGTGGAGCATATAATGTACAATTCATCATTCTGCCAACTTGCAAAACCTAAACAACGTGTCCACTCTCCAATATAGAGTTTAGTACAGTTTTCTCACTTTGAAGTTATTTCGAAAATAAACACAAACATGAACCATGAGATGAGTTACCGGTTTCCCTGGTGAGATATTAGTTGCCATCAGTAAAACTAACGAATTAACACATGCGAGTCCAACCTTATATGGGAAGGGAGGGGGTGTTTTTTCTTTTTTTGCCCTTTAGTATTTGATATTGATATGGACCCTAGTCCACTTCAGCAAGGTGCAGTGGTCTCTGAGCAGGAGAGTGCTGGTGGACTTGCCTCCACGGTCGTCCTGGGTGGTCGGGCGAGGGGGGAACACAAATACATGCCAGCCAGAACAAAGGGGGAAAATGTAGCCCCGCGTCCGAGACCCGTTGGAAGCATTTGTTCCAGTCAAGATTTTGCATTTGTTCAGTTTCGCAATAATGCCTGATTGACGCCCCGGCACAATGTCCTTTAACTTTGCGGGATAAACCCGAGCTTGTTCTGTGTTGTCATGGTTTTGAATGGCGCTGAATGGGATGTGGGACCGCTATCTACTGCCCCGCGTCCACCGCCGCTCACTCTATAGCCCAGAGCGATATTAAATGTGGGACTCAGGACGTATTAAACTCCTTTTAGATTTCACGGTTCAACAAAGCCGATGACCTGGGTTATCAGTCCCAAATCTATTTGAAATCAACCCCTCATCTGTCATTAAACGGCTGTTGGGGATCTTTACGCACGTCTCTCTTTGTACATTAAAAGTAAATACAATCAAGGAAACAAACTGTTTGCAAAGACCACAAACTCTAAAGCATTAACTCCCTTGAAGCACGATTTCTGTGAACACATGGCGTTGTTTGACAGGCATCTGAGGATTACAGTACTGCGGGTCGAGCTGAAGTGGATACTTTAAGCAGGCCACTCGATTGGAGAGAGAAAACACCCAAAAGCAAAGAAAGTCATGTCCACAGAGCGGGAATTTCTCTTTCCACAATGACCCAACAGCCCCTTAATCTATTTAACACCCGCAGGCTTCAGCCAGAGTGGGCCCTCTGCAGCTCCTAAGAGCTCTCCACGGCCAAATATTTACTCTGTTGTTCAGATCTGCATTCCCAATCCATCCGCATCCAAATGGAGATTTTTCTCCCATGGTCCTGGAGGCAGCAGTTGAGCTGCCACTTCCACATTTCCACACTTGAACTGGGCCACTTCAAGTCTCCCTTCTACCCAAAGACATAAAAAGGACATTTTGAGATTAAATCTACAATTATATTATGTTTAACATTTATTTTTTATTTCACTCACAGACGTTTGCGTAACCCTCTGCTAAAGGGGGATATTTTTTTTATTGGGTACCATTTTAATCTGATTTTAAATAACGTTTGTATGGCTAATTTAATGCATCGCTTGAGGAGTAAAACACAATCAATCTGAAATATTTGGTCACAGTACATCTTAAGGAAATTAAAGCGGAGATTATCCCAGTCTTTGGGGGGAAAATCCACTTTAAATTCAATCAACTGTTAATACGAGAATCGTGAATCTTAAACTATTTTAGAAACTTCACTTTTCAAAGTAGGTCAGTTTGGCTCTATCTGTATGGTTTTAAACAAACCATAACATTTGAAAGGGGTTGTAGCCCTTCTTAGAAATTTAACCATATTGAATTATACACTCAAAAAAATAACTTGTTCCCAGAAGGTAATAAAATTATGGAAATATTTTCCATCTAAATAAAATGCTTTAATTTAGCGAGAAGCAATTTTGTTGAGTGAACAAAATGTAAGTATGTTGGGTCAACATGATGTATTTGCATTACTGTTACTTAATTACTTAATTATACCACTGTTTATGCAAAGTGCGTTTTTGTTGTTTTCTTTGATTTTTCCAATTATTGTACCCTTAATTTGTTCTAAACTGAGTAAATTGTTAACTTCACTATAATTGGTTTTATGATATTTTGCTTATAAGACTGCATTTCAGTTTGTCTCATTTCAGGCACACGACGCCCAAAGGAACAAATTTGTAACACTCCAAATATTTGCAGTCGACTTCCATCGGAAGCTGCCACGGTAAGTACTTTGATCCAATTTGGTTTAATTCCACATCCATATCCAACCATATATACTGTTGCTTTTCCAGTCCCAACACCACATCACAACTCATGTGACTGCAGCAGACAAATGAAAGGCCTAAAAAACCCACAATGAGCCCTCTGTTACTCCTCAGAGCGTTGTGTGTCTCGCAGTGTCCAGCAGCTGCACCTGCTGCTGTCCTCTCTCCTCTCCTGTAAATAGCATTAGCATTCAGGAGGGGCTGCGGGGGACAATGACCTGGCAGCCACACCACTCTCTCTGCAGTGAACCGGAGTGTGTGTGAGGCTGCATGCTGGTGCCCGGTGAAAGTGTGTCAAAAAGTCAGGTCTGTTTGAACCCTGCTCGGTGACACGAGGAGACCTTTGTGTGCCAGAGGACCCACAACAGAAGGCATCAGCAGAAAAAGTATCCGGACAAAGGTGTGTCCAGATTAAGTGGAAAGCCAAATAATCATTTGAACGTTGTCCATCAGCAAATTTGCAGTAAGGAATTATTGTTTCCAGCTTTATTAATAAAGCTGGAAACGTCTGTGTTCCTATATATGTATATATAAATCATAAATAAATAGTCAGGTCGATTTGGTCTGCAAGAAAAAAAAGTTAAGGATTTAAAAGTTAAGTCTATTTTCAAAACAAAACCAGTACTTGCAATTCAGTTAAGTTCTCTCCCCAACCCGCTGTCCTCACAGGTATTTTGGTCTGTGTGGGAAGGCCAGAGCATCAGAAAATTAAGTTTGGAGTTGATGCTTGACCATCTCAGCCAAAAAATATCCTCCAAAGCAAAGTATGGAGCTCATGCTTAAACACGTGGATATTTGTGGCATACGATCGTAGTTTACTATTTATATCTGACTCTTTTCACAACAAACCCTCAATTTTTTTTAAAAAGATGTAGAGAAAACGAAGAAGCTTTTTAATGGAACCCCTTAAAGGCTTAAATCAAACAGTATTGAGCAATTTCATTATTACATTTTTTAATCGTTAAATTAACGCGCTGGGGCCAAAACCTTTGGGCTGTGTGCCCCGACAGGCGGCTGAGCGGAGCCTCTGCTCATATTTGTGATGCTCAGTCGCCCTCTACAGGTCTCAGATTGAGGGACAGAGTTCTGCTGGTAGACGCCAGGCCTGTTCGAGAGACCACGGAGTCTGTTTGGAATTGAGTTAACTTTAGTCGTTGTTAAAATTCCTTTGGCCGGTGCGGTCGCAGCGAATATAAACTCAACACAAATGTCTCTGAAAAATCTGTTCCTCTGTGTACTCGTTGTGTTCACTGTGGAATCGTTGCGCACGGACGCTGGGAGCAGACAGGCTTCTGTTGAGCTGTAGGGGACCTGGCGGGTTTTCATTTTAAGGCTCAATGCAGCCACGACCTGTGCGTAAATACGCAAAGATTTTGTCACGAAGGATGGCAAAGCCCCTGAGGCATTTCCGGAGTGGAACCCTCGATCAGAACTCCTCCATTGAGCTGATTGTTTAGTATTTTGATAAATATACAGGAAAAAAAACACTTTTATAGGTTGCAGAGATTCTTTATAAAAACGCCCCGGAAGTGCTGTGCAGCAGTTTCTTAATGCCACGTCTGGAAAAATATTCTTTTTGAACGTACACGCCATTGCACGTCGGCTGCCACACGATGGCGCCATGGTACCTAAAAGCAAACCTTTTCCTCCCGCTGCAGGCCAGAGGCCGCGGAGCAGCAGCACCTTCTGCCAGACGAAACAAGGAAAAGAAGGGAAACCACCTAGAGGAAGTGTTTTAGTAAATGATGCCAGGATGTTTGTTGCTGGTCCCGGCTTAAGGATCTGACTAAAGTTTGTGCTTCAGGTGTCCCAGATATCAAATTTTGAGTTCATCCAAGTCACTTCCTC